ATTGTTCGATAGATGAACCATGTGCTGAAGTGATTTGAAATGGGTCTTTTTGAATATGTCTTGAAAATAATTTTTTCGCAATTTCAGGGTGTATGAAAGATCTTGTACTTCCAGTGTCAATCAATACTTTGAGATTATACTCCGGAAATACAATGTATGGTAGTTTGCTACATTTGTCGGTTAAACTCATAATTTCTATTGACTTGGGTGGTCCGTTGAGATTTGTGGTTGTCTCTGTTCCGAGGCTTCTTGCCCTAAAAAATCGTCAGAATTATTCTGAGAATAAGCGCATTCATAATTGTCATCATTTGGAAATTCTACAACAGGTTGGTCTTGTGCACATAAGTTAAACATAGCCTGTTCTGCGTTTATACCAGGTCTGTTAAAATTTCTACCTTGAAAATTTGGTTGCTGATACGTCTGTCTAGTGGATGTACTCATCGGAGTAGGCCTTGGCAGATTATTGATCTGATTAGGTCTAAAAACGTTATTATTGTGAAAATTCGTTCTATTCTGATTAGGATTATTTGGTCGTACATTATTAGGACTAAATTGTCTTTGTAATACTGGACGCTGTACCGCTTGGTATTGATTCCTATAATTACCAAAGTTGTTGTTCATATGGTGAACTAATTGCATATTATTTCGATTAACATTTTTATGTTTATCTACCTTATGATCAAGCTGAAAGTCGTTAGTTAATATATTCAGAGCTTCATTCAAGTCTGTAGGATTTTTCGTCCTCATGAGCGATCCTAGAGGTTCCTTTAAACCTTTTAGAAATACTCTTAATGCTACGCTTTTGCAAAAATTACATATTATCTGAGCTTCTTCACTCACACAATGTGTAGTTAAAAATGATATTTGTAAATTCAATAAACTCTGAACTTTGTTATAAAATTCAAAGGGGGTTTCATTGTTCTGTTTCAATTCACACAATTCTATATTTAGAGTAAATACGTCACGCTTGTCTTGATATGTATTTAAAAGTGCAGTTTTCAAGTCTGTCCAATTTTTTATAATATTGTTACTAATATTTAAAGCTGCATTACCTTTGATTTTCGCTAAAATACTACTCATAAGATATTCGTTCTGGAAGTCATTTTCATCCTCTAATCTATAAAATTTATTCACTAACTTTTCGCAAATATCTATGAATCTTGGTAATAATTCTTGTTGACCATAAAATTCGGGTATCATGTTAAGATACTCTGGGCGTAATGACATGCTTGATTGATTTACTTGACTGTTGTTCATATTGACTGTACTATTTAGTATACTAGGTCTTAATTGCAAATTCCTTAAACTATGTTGGATATGTTCCGTATCCGACTGTGAGTCCGAATCAGTGTCACTCAATATATCATCAAACAGCTTTTGATTGTTTTCACCCCTGTAAGACATTCGTACTTACAGTAGTAATCCAATCCGTCCCATGTGTCCGTATGCCTGGGCCACTGCTGGGTTGCCTGTCCTGGAGCAGATGTTCCTTCTGTCCTCTGGGCTGCTGTCGTCTTGGTTTCTCGATTTGGGTAGGGTTCTATCCCAAATCTGGTTCCGGTGATCACGGTAACGATATCGATATTCCGTCGGATCGTTCGCGACCAATCGCGGTTGGTTTCGTTATAGCCAGTAAACCGTTGAAACGAACCGAAAAATGTCCCTTTTTTCGTCTGACTATCCTACTGGATTGACTGCGCCACTCAAATATCTTTCTTCAACGAAAACGTTTTTAAAAAGATTTATTTTTGAGAAAGACCAAATACAATGATGTTAATTGAATGAGTTCTGAATCGAGACTGACTGCAAAGTTCATTATACAAACCAAAGTAAAGAACAAATGAAATACAATACTGTAACTGATAAGAAAGGAACGTGGAGGCAAAAGTCCTTGTTCAGCATATTCTTCTCTGTAGACTGGTACATAACTTATATACATGTTAATTACATGTATTTACATTGGTTCACAACCATGAAAATAATAGGGTTAAGTGGAAGAGTAGCTATTTAGCTAAACTTCGCCCGATACTATGTAACTTTATAAATAAAGACGATTTATTATCATTATAATTATAAAATTGTAACTTAGAACGATGGAGCATTTTCTAATAATAATTAAATAGTAAATTATAAAAAATATAATTTACACATTAACTGTACCGTGATAATGTTTGGGTAATAACAACTTTTTTAGAATCCTCATTACCATTATTTTATTTTTGCTAGAAATTATTCATTCAGTATTGCTAATGTAAGGCATATTCATGATTTCTATATTAGATCGGAAAAGAACTAAAATAGTCTCTTATCCTAATCATATCGAGAATCTATTTAGCATTATCCGGGCCATGAATACAAGTTGTAATTCACTGTGACGTGCATTGATGATGAACGGGACGCATGAGGCCATAAATACTCAGGGCATCATTTTATTTGCCTTTTCCGCGTAACGGTGAAAGTATAACATAAACAGGAGGTGAAAGAAGAATTAATCCTATGGGATACCGGAAAAGATACACAGATGAGAGCCAGGAAATAATATCCCAAGAGATTTCTTATTTCACGTGGCGTACGAGTATACCTTTTCTTCTAATGTTTATGGTTTAGTAATTTGTTGAATCACCTCTTTTACTGAGTTTCCTTTAATTCGAGTGGGATATAAATGATAAAAATACCAGAAAAGAAAATGTGATTTGATATAGTTTGATTACTTTAAGGAGTTGAAAAATGCTGTAAACTTCACATTCTTATGTGCATTCATCATTGTTGTCGATATACGTGGGTTAATACCAATAGCGTTAGGGACACGTAGCGGTAGGTTGCTCAATAGGCCAATTTTAATGATTGATGTAACTCAATAAAACGTTTGTAAATTGCTTTTCTTGAATGAATTTTACAAACGATCTATAAATTTGGCGTAGCCAGTAACATCGTCTAAATTTTTGAAAAGTTAGGATAACTATTCGATAAAACGACACCGTAGGACTTCTGATGTCCACGGTATGCCAGTATTTACCAGTCTGTCTATAAACATATTAATAAAGTCTACCTGAAGTTCTGGTGTGCCGGCGACATTGTGGCCGGGTATCTAATATCCGACGGTTTTTAAAACTCTAATACCTTTAAAACAATGTACGCGCGTTATTTGCCGCTCACAGTAGCTGCGTTCGTTAACTTCTTCTAGCATCTTAGCTATTCTACTTAGTATTGCTGTGACCGTGGTGGGATTTGCATGTCTGTGAAGAGGGCGCGGCCCCAATATTCTTAAGTTGTGTTGATGTTGATAGCGATTACCTTAGTATATAAGGAACAATTTAATAATTTAAATAACGTTTGGTTATAAATAATTTATAACTTGATGTTGAAGTGCTGAAAGAATTTTTATGTTTTGTAATTATATTATTATTTTTGTTTTTGAAGTGATGTTCTAACAAATTGATCTCAGGAGAAGAATGTTTATAATTTTTTTAGTTTTGGATGATTATATTATTGTTCTTTCTATAATTAATGTTTGGCTTTCGTAAATAATGTGTATAACTACCTATTTCCCTAATATACCGGGTGTTTCAAATTCGACCCTCACCATTGGGATCTCGAAAACTGTAAGAGATATGAAGTCACCTGAATGGGGGCAAAGTTGCGTATTCAGGTGATAAAAAAATGTCTCTCAGAGAGAATTTTTCCAAAAGCGTTATCCTTTCATAATTCAAAATTTCAAAATGAAATTGTACATTAAGATTGCTACTTTTTCTCCTCTACAAGATGGCACAATTGAAATTTTTGTTATTAAAAAACGGAATTCCCAAGGTAGGCGTTGAAATTATTAATCATTTGTTTCGTATTCCAGTCCAAGACTCAAGTTGAACATGGCCAACAAAGGAAATACATAACTCAATTTATGTGTACAAAATTCCAATATAGCTTCCATGTGGAAAAATAGAGTTTGTGATGGGAGTCTAAAGAAGAAACCTCGAATTTTCTGAGCCATCTTGTAGAGACAACTAGCAATTAATTTTGAAATTCCATTTCAAATAAAGTTAGGAAAAAATAAAAATGATTTTTCGATAAATCTGCTATGAGTAACAAATGATAATTTCCACGTCTTTCTTGACAATTCTGTTTTTTGAAATAAATAAGGTTCGGTAATGTTAATGTATGACATATATTTTTGGAGCCAGAATTAAACACTCTATACACCCGTGCAAAGATCCAATACATGTCCAATATATCTTGCAGAGGATAAAAAGTTGTAATGTTAATGTGCAATTTATTTTGAAGTCTACAGTAAAGCCAGGAAAAATTTTAACTGCTTTGGAAAAATTCGGGTTTTCATTCTCTCTTCGGTAGTACTTTGAATTTTGCAACTTTCGAAGCGGCACTTTATATCACTTACCGTTTCCGAAATCCTCACGGTGAGAGTCGAATTTGAGCACTTGGTATAAGACCAATATTGACATAATATTGATTCAGTGTACAATAATGTTCATGAGCAAAATATACAGGCCACAACAATTGTATTCTGTTTCGAAGCCATAACGACCCTGGGTTATATGATATTTTGGAAATTCACAAAATTGGCGCAGCCAGTAGGATTACTCTGAATCTGTGCCTCAATGTTGGATTAAGCACACAAAGAGTCCAAGTTTCAAAAAAATCTAGAATAGATTTATCTCTGTAGTGGAATCAACTGCTACATGTTTATGTGTAACAAAATGTCGGTTATATGGAAATCTTCATAGTTGATGTAACCAACGATTCTAACATTTAGTAGTAAAATTGCGCAGTTCGTACGAGCAGACTTAATTTTTCTATTTTCTATTCTTGTTCAAGCGAATCTTGAGTGTTCTAACTGTCTTGCTATCTGTAGTAGAATTCAAAGTTATACTGTATACGTATATATGCTTACGAGTATTGCTAGCTTACGTAATGCCCGAAATCATCTTCATGGGGAAAATATAGAATAATATGAAAAAGTGCAATATTTTTGAATATTAAAATACCTGGAACATCGCTTGGTCGCCCTCTCCGACTGTAGCAGGTATGTGGACATCATAAGACACTTGCTCAAATTCAGGAGCATTGTCGTTGATGTCTTCTACTTTGACGACTACCCTGGTAACCGAAGATAGAGGTGGAGAACCATTATCACTTATGAGGATCTGTAACAAAAATGCATTTGTTGATTTGACGATATTGTATGTATATTGGGCTCGAAATATACGATATCCTGTCTGTTTAGAACCCATAAAACTTTGGACTCAGCAGATCTTCTAGTCAAAGACAGAGAATATACAATATAACAAATTTTCAGGTAATCTAACCGATTATCGTTTCATGTTCTTACTTCAATAGTGTTGAGGAATCTTGAAACTTTCTATTTGCGACAATTGTCCCAGGCTGAGCAAGATACTGTTAATCCAAACCGACGTACGTACAATTGAGTAGCTCAATATATTATACGCATACCTAATTATCTAATAATCGTCTAACAATTACCGATGCTTCCTAGTGGGCAGTGTACTCTAATTATCTCATATGTCAGCGGCTATTATTTGTTCTCCAGAGCTAAATTATGTGTATATATTATTGCACAATATATCTCTAAATTCAAATAAGCATACTCTTCCATAAGCTATTCATAAATGACTGTGGTATACTTGATTTTTTCTTCGATGTTTTGAAAGAAACGTGTAAACAATTTTTATATGGAGGTTAATTAATACTCATAATAGATAGGGATGTTTCTAAAACATACGAAAACACAGTCTTACAGTCTTCTTGATAACGACTCCGCTGGCTAATCTGAACTGTTTACATTAGACCACGTGGTGATGAGTTGTACAAATAGTGCTGCGCTTTGAGCCAAAACTGAAATCTCCGTATAGTGACATATTCATATTCTTCAAAATACCATCATTGTAAACTTCAAAAGTCAAACCTGCATTTTTAAAAATATTGTAGCCAAAGCACCGTTTTCTCCTGTCAAAAGTCCAATTTATTACTTTTACACAAATTTATAATACTTGTACTCATTTATGACAGTTTATAACTATGTTGACTGGACTACGGGCGTTGATTGACTGTCTCGACTGTGGCTCCCTGCTCCGCCAGATGGTGGGATACTTATGTCCCTATCGACGAGTCGAGAACCTTTACAGGTCATGTAATTTTGGTTGCCTGATATTTTTGATATTTATAAATGAGTATATATATTTTTCAAAAGAATTGCTGAGTACGAGCCTATTTGGTACGGTAGAGGTCTGCATTCGCTGTATAAAAAAAACCCTCAGTTGTCAGATAATTGCCCCTGCCACATGATATGGAGCTTCGTAACAGCCGCACAAACGTACATAATTGTCCGATGATCAAAGACTCGAATACGGTGCTTTTTATGGTTCTGTTCTGAAAATACGCCAATTCTAACCATCTGCGGTTACCAACCAAACGCTATTTTTTAGTTTGAACGATATTGTGATATTGTTCATTTGCCTGGCTTGCAAAAAGGTTACCTGTAACCTAAAAAGCGGTCGTACAAAGACTCAAAAGCTTTCTATCACAAAAAAAATGTGACAATGCACAGGGTGTTGCATTTAAAACTTCGTCAATTTTGAGTTCTTGACCAGTCTGTATGAGCTGTTCAGAAAATCTGAAAAGGTAAGCGGATATGAACAAAATGGCATCATAATTTTTTTAACAAAAAATTCAGTACTCCAGCTATAACAGTTGCGTAGGTGCGAGATGTCAAATTTCAGTATTTTATTCAGAAAATTGTCAAATAGCTCAACAAATTGGAAACAGAAATATCATATCAAAGAGTTTGGTTTTGAAAGGGCGCAGCCAAATGTGCAATAAAATGTAATGCTTTTAATTTAAAAAAATGCATGTTTGTATCACCATGTTGTTATGCAACACCATATAGAGATAAAAATATTTTTCAAGTAAGGCTCATACTGTTGCCTACTATTTTTGTAATTAACTTTTTTAGGTACTATGCGCGATAATAGAGTTATCGACCAGGACCACTCTAAAAACTCACTCTGTATTTAATCACTGATAATTGCGGCTAAACTTGGCCAAGGAGACCGTCGTGTAATCTATTCTATTATTTGTCATTCATAAAAGTAAAATACCCGTACTAAAAGTATTAACATCGCTTTCACTAATAGATGAATTTTACACGTTTTGCTGGGATTACTAATAAGCTACATATGAAAAAATCGTGACACAGGCGCTGACCAGGCTTCAGGAAATGCATTATACTGAATCAATTTCATAAAGTTAATTAATCCTAGCAAACAATTGAGGGTCTCTTTTACCACAAAGGTGACAAAATTAGGAGCTAGAAAGTTGATGCTGATCTCTACTCGTAACTTAGAGGCATGAAACTTTGATATACTCATTGGAATTACTTATGAAAAACGTCTTTAGTGAATGGATTGCTATTTTACTATAATTGCTTTAATTGGTTGTTCGTCAGGAAGTAAATACTTGTAACCTCTATTCTCATTTATGTGACAACTGCTCTGATTAATGCAAACCTCAGCTATCGGGACCTACATGGTATGTAAAGTCTATCGAATAGAGTAACTCTTACAATTTCCGAAGAACAATGAGATATCACATGAAGATATTACTTTCCGCATAGGTCCTAATAAATGTGACACGCTAGCAGCGTCAGCAAAGTTATAACAGCAGTTAGTAGGAAGCTTCCTTTCTAACTTTTCGACGGAAGCACTGACATTCAGTAACGTACGGTAGGGTAATCTTGAATCAGAAAAGTAGTAACGTTTTGCTTTCCAGAAATGCAGTAAAAACTATATTAAGAAGATATGATGTGCATCAAAGTATCTATACTAGTACCCACATGTTACTAATTTTTTCCTTGTAATTTTTGGGAGCCGTATTAAGTAGCTAAAATACTAGATTTTGTGATTGCATTCATTCAAATATTCTTAGTAACTAGGCTTACTGAAAATGAGCTGTTACGTTAATATCTCTGGAATACCAATCAACCGATTTCAAGATGATTTAGAACAGAGTTCCCCAAACTTTTTTGTGTCGTAGGCCCCTTGCCATTTTTCTCCGTGTTGGGTAGACCCCCTACTTACCTGATATTGATTTCCTGTAAATTTCTAACTGTAGTGAAGTTTAGTGTTAAAAACTTAAAGTAAAAACACATGTTAATTTATACATTTATTAATTGAATTTAAATTAAAAATACTCAAAATAAAATTTTGTATCTGTTATGTAAAATATACGTAACATTAAATAAACAGGTGTCTGACCAATAAGTGCCCGCATTGGGAATAAGTGCCCGCATTGAAAAAAAAAATAAGAGGGATAAAATAAAAAAAAGTGAAAAATAATAAAAAAAAGTGTTTTACATAAAATAGTACAATAAGCGAGTTCGTTTATTAATTATAACATAAACGTATGTTCTACAATAATTTCACTGTTAGTTTGATTAAATTCCGCTTCTTATACGTTTAAGTTATCTAAAAATAGGCAAAAAATTAACGAATTTTAGTATGTACTTACCCTTGAATTTTCAGAATAATTAAAAAAAATATTTTCTATAAAGGGGGTTCTTTAAAAAAATCAATGCGGGCACTTATTCCCAATGCGGGCATTTATTGGCCAGACACCAATAAACATAAAATAAACTATAAATAAAATAAGCAATAAGTCAATATTTTTAGTGAGAAGGATGAACCTGATGCTTTAATAATAAATTATAAACATTTGGCGTCAATTTTGTAAGGGTTAATCTTAAATCTTCTCGGCTAATGATGTCCAGTCTGTTTCTTTTTTTCGTTAGGAGATTGGTAACAGCGCTGAACCCCCTTTCCACCAGGTATGACGATGGAAAGGAAATTAAAAATTTCCTTGCTATATTCCATAATACGGGATAAGTAACGGGTACGTTGTTTTGCAGCCAGAATTGCTGATATCCGTTTTTAAACTGAAAGTTCTTCGTTTGTACTTAGTTCAGTCAGTTCCTCTTGTATTATGACATTAGTTTTTTCTATGTCACCATATGGATTAATTATCCACGGTGGTATTACCATAGTCAAAATATCCTCAAACCTAGATTCAAAATCTGAATAGAGGGCATTTAAATGTTGAACGTAAGTTGAAACGTCGTCTTCCTGGCAGCTTGTCTGTGACAAATTGGGGAACTGAGAAAATTCGCCCCGTCCAATATTTTGCTTCATTAGTTTAACTCTGGCAAGAAACGCTGATAAGATGGACTCTGTTTTAATCAAATTTAAACTGTTGCCTTGTAATTGCAAATTAACCATATTAAATTTTGTAAACAAATCTGTTAAATAGGCGATGTCTGTTTTCCTCTTCATTAAATTTCTTTTAAAATTTCATCTTTAGTATCCAGAAATTCTAAAATAGTCTCAAAAAGTGCAAAAAATCTTGTCAAACATAAGCCTTTCGACAGCCAGCGTACTTCAGTGTGAAGGGGTAATTGATGAAAGTGTTCGTAATTTTCTTCACACAACTGCGCAAATAACCGCGTATTCAATGCGTTGCTTCGGATTCGGTTTACTGCATCAATGACTAAATGAAGTGATTCATGCAATCTAACACTCAAATTTTTTGCTACTAAATGTTGTCGATGGATGACGCAATGTATTGCTAACACCCCTGACACATTTTGTTTTAAATAGCTTATAAATCCACGATAACGTCCAACCATGGCAGGTGCTCCATCTGTAGCTACTGATATTATATTTGATAAAGGAATTGCTTTTTCAATGAAGTAATCCTTCAAAAGATGAAATATTGATTCACCTTTAGTGTCGGTCATCAAAGTTCTTGCGAAGAGCAGTTCTTCGTAGATTTCTTGATTCATAATAAAACGAACATATGCCAATAATAATGCTGCATTATCAGGTAAAGTTGACTCGTCCAGTTGTATAGAGAAATGAGTCGTTTGCAAATAATTACATAAGAAGCTTTCAATATCAGAACTCATTTCATCAATACGTCTTCCAACAGTATTGTTGCTTAAGGGAATTCTTTTAATGATATCAGATGCAGGTTTGTGTAAAACAGTTTTTAAAACCTCTTCAACGGCTGGCAAAATTAACTTCTCTCCGATAGTATGCGGTTTTCCGGATTTTGCTATAAGTAACGAGATATTGTAAGATGCCCGCAAACCATCATCATTTCTTTGTGACGTCGAAGCGAACATTCTGTCCAGTGTAGGTCTCTTCTGAAATTTATCTTTGAGTGTTTGAATGTATTTCAAATCATTCTCTGTTTTATCAGGGTGGCATCTTCTCAGATGATCTTGCAGTTTAGATGGTTTCATAGCGTCATTGCCCAAAACTTTGTTGCATAAAAGGCACACAGGCGATTGTTTGTCCGGCAATGATGGAATGAAGCCAAATTTCAAATAATCAGCACTGTACTGTCTACATTTCTTTTTAGATTCGGACATGGCATCAGTCATCTGTGGGCAAAATTAAATTATTTAAATAAGACAGAAAATCCAGCAGCTGTATATAAAAAATATTTTTTGATTTTTCCGAAAAATTCCATAATTCGAACATCTTCTTGCAACAATTAGCTCGAATTACGGAGATTGCACTGTAATTATATTACCGATTGCATGATTGGCGTAATTTATCTATCTTTGGTAACTACGAGTACAAAACTAATTTTAATAAAAAATAATGTACTTACTTTTCTCCAGCACTCTCAAACAAAATAACACTGACTCACTAGAATTTGTGTGATATACTATCTGTTTATATTTTTTAAAATATTTTCTTAGCACTTTCCTTTTCAAGATTCAGTAAACGAATAAACGTATTTGTCCCACATTCGTATTTATAGAGTGACGAATTGAACAAGTCAGCGAAGGTAGCGAAGCTCTGAGACTGCGACTCTCAGGTTTTTACAAATTCAAAATGTATTGCGACCACAAAGCGAATACCAACATCCTACAACTTTCACAATTTTATAAACATATATAATAATTTTTTTACTTCGCAGGTACTTTTATAAATAATGTATATGTTTTGATATTATAAGATAGTATGATGTAAGTAAATAGGTACTATCAGTGTATGTGTTGAGATCCACTATCGTGGACCCCCATATTCATTTCATGGACCCCCAAATTTTTTTTCGCTGACGTAGACCCCTTGCAGGTTGTCATAGACCCCTAGGGGTCGATATAGACCACTTTGGGAATCAATGATTTAGAATATGCAAGCAAAAACAAAAGTGTTTTACCACCAAAATACACTAGATGACGACTGGCCATTTTTACTACCACGCTAGATAGCCCCGGGACATGTTCCGCAGTTAGGCTATGAAAAGGTAAATTTTTCCTAAGGAAATTTTCAAGTATCAGCTGATACGCCACTGCATGCCCTTCTTAACCACTGCGGCGGTATGGATTCCTCAGTGAAACTTACTAATTCCAAATCGCTACTCTTGGGAAACTTACGACATTTCGTGACTACTCAGGAACTATTGTAAACAAAGGGGACTCCGGGTATTATTCAAACATTGATACTGGTTGCTTGTTATAGCTCGGGACTTTACAAATCTGCTTGTACCTCGGCAAACTTGTAAACAATATAAGATGCTATGATAAAGACTTGGACAATCAAGATGGGGACTCAAACAACTAAAACAATTGTGTTTGCAGGCACAAGTTTCAAAATTGCTTTAAATTGTTCAACGGAGTTTATGTTTCTATTAATTAAATCTTTTCACTTACGTTTAGTTTAAATAGATTGTATATAATAACAGTACAAGAAAAGAAACTTCCTAGAAATCGGACAGAAATAAAATGTAGGTTTTAAAAGTAATTTTTCGTTCACTTGCATTTTTACTTCGTCGTTAGATGGGATTAAAAAGAGATTATAGGCTGTAACTAGCACCCAAGTACTAAGTTGAAAAATAACAATATAAGCATATTTTACATCCCTCGAGTTTTGCTCCAAAGGCATCGACTGACAAAACTTGATGTACATCGTAGTACCTTATTTAAAGATGTGATAAGTGTTGCTCGAAAGTCAGTGGCATAGAAAAAAACTTCGTTTCTTCTTCTCTAGGAGTCAAACTATCTGAGTTTCTACCCTATAGGTATCGTTGCCACAAAGAAGCCAAATTATGCCACAAATCATCGATTCAATCGTGAAGAGCAATCTAACCACTCAAGGTGACACAGATTCCCCAGTAGTTAATTCGCAGCATTCTTGTAAGCCTCCGGTGATGCTCCCGGTAGTTAAAATACTGGGTACATCTCAACGTGATACATCAACAGCTTAATCGAAATCCTTTGTCGTTAAGCCTTCTACCGGTGAACAATTGATGGAAGTTTCAAGGGCATCTGATGTTGGTGGCGTCATGCGGTTGACCACACACCCTACACAGTGCTTTTAAGAGAACAGTGACGGAGTACTAAGAATGAAGTAATTTGTGATCCATTTGTAAATATCAGGGTAGCAACATAGAACCATTCCTCATGTGATTGTAATAAGCCCGGTTTTTCAATTGCAGATCAATTTCCAAGTTAAACAATAGCAATTTGTACAAGCTGTCTGTAAATTCATTTTCCAATTTCTGGTTAACTATTAGTGTGGCAACACTGCTTTAGCGTTTGACCTATCCTATTTCGTGCATTTTATGAGGCTCGGGATTTGTGTATCGTGTGATCCTGGACAACATCAAATACAAATAGTTTGCCGACTGCTGTTTCACTGCAACTTTCTAGTTAGACCACATATAGGTCTCTGGCTAAAGTTGATTACAGTTTAAGACAAACTTTATATTGAAAAACGCTTGTTGAAAATTAAATTCTGGTTAGCAGTAAAGTGGGTCTCATTAGTGAAATATACTCCGTCATATTATTATTACGGTTAACAACATACAATAAAGGGGCCATTGTTTTTAGAAGTAATTTGGTTGTTCCTTCACCCGATATATTCATTCTTCATTGGAATATGACCGTTTTGTCTACTGTCTATTACATCTCCGTTTTCAGCGTTCTCACACAAAACCTGAACAAAAAACTAGTACGTATTGGAAATATTATTACTATACTAAATTTTCTTAGCTTTTATTTCATTGACAAAGTCCTAAGTTTTCGAGTTATAAAGGAAACTCTTGTTCACAGGAATGAGAATATTTTACTGTTTTACCTCGGAACGTGAATTCATCACCTGACATTTTGATTGAATATTTATTTAAAAACAGACGGGTTTCGGTTTCCTTATTGCTTGTCCGGTGATGCAGTAATGACGGTGATCTACCAGTCTGTACATGTTGTACGCACAAAAATCAATTCAGGGCCAGCGAAGTAAGGAACCTGCATATGTACGATTGATATGGGGCATAAAATTTATAAACTACATAAAATTCATCTTTAGCTTTATTTTTGGTTCCTGCTCTTTTTCGGAAAAAATCCGTAGGTTCAAGTCGTTCAAGTTCAAGTTTAAACATGAAAAGAATATCTGAAACTTGCAATGTACATTTTTGTTTAGCGTTCATGTATAAATTGCGAACATGCGATATAAATGATATCAAAAGTGATTATAGTTTATAGAAATATATAAAACAAAAACACCTCCACCCCAGTCTTGTTTTGCTTGTACATACTTGCAGGTACAACGTGAATATTAATTATAATGCTATTCTGCAAACATCATTACGGCCCATACTATATATCCATTGATATTCGTCGATACCTCATTTGAAGTTTCCTTTTTTCATGAGAGCCATTTTGGACATCATAGCGTTAACTTTGCAATTTTAATTTAAATTGATTTTAAGTGTTTTGAAAAAAATTTCTCTACGGTTAGCCTTATAAGGCCCAGTATTTCGACAATTGTTCATTGTTACAATGTTTCAAATAATAACATAACCTAGAATGTGTACGAGTACTTGGTGAACAAAGAAAATTATCTTAAATTGTAGTTTTTTTTGCAGGTTTGGTTTGGTTTAAATATAGTGTGAATGTATATATTATTATCACTGCCTGAACAACGAAAAATATTCAACTACATTGGTGAATCGATATCAGAAATTCTGAAAGTTTTGTACCTACACCAACCCAGTGTGCTATTATGGCATTGATGAGCCGGAACTAGATGTATGAACTTTTGGAATCAAGCAATATCTAAAAACCGTTTTACCTGCAAGACAATTGCATTCAATTACTTGCAGTTGCAAGACGGCCCTGTTTCTTCGATACAAACTTAATGAATGAAATACTCCCTGTCACATTCCTAACCTATAATTTTGGTTCTGGTTTTTCACCCTTCATAACACATGGCTTTAATATCCAAAAACTAGTTTTAATCGCTGACCATCCAACATCAAAGCACAATCAAGATTGTGTCCGCAAAGTTGGGGTTTTCCTTTTCAGACATAACCACGCTTGACATGTCAAAGCCATAGTAGAATACCAAAATTGATGACAGTAGCGAAACTCATCGTACGCCACTGCTATTACGCGGAGGCCTTCGAAAATGCGGCGCTTCTTTGTTAAATGTCGGTAAACATCGCTGTAATCAAAAGGTACAGCGTCAAAGCAGTGGCTTTCGATGACTTCTCCTACTGTCATCAATTGTGGTATTTGACTATAATATGTGGTGAAACGTGAGCGAACAAGTAATAACAAAGAAGTACTCGCTGTTCAGATAAATTGAAATTCCGAGCACGGCTCTGTCGTAAAAGCTGTATTTACTACGTAGTCGTACGTCGTACAACTGTACGCTGGCGCTGGGGACGTGATCGTGAGATAGGACAGGACCGGCTTCGGTGTGGATCAGGTTTGATTGAGTTTGCCGAGTTCAATATCTCGGTTCTCTTAAGACATTGTTGTATATGCTACTAAGAAAATCCGCTTATTTTCCCCATATCTACAGGTCGTGCAAAGGAAAACCACAACTTTGCGAACACCCTGTATATGTAAACAATTAAATATATCTACAGAAACTGATAACTTGTAAGTTACTATTTCACCAGTATTGCAGACTTGCATGAATGATACAAATGATTGATTTTCATGCAAGTCTTCGGCATTTGGAAAAAAATTACAGGAAGAATCAGCGGTCTTGTTAGTGCGTATGCGTCTGATCAAAATTTATCTTGCTATTGTTGACGATAAAGTGTGTATAAGGAAAGAAAGAAAAAAAATCTTTCTCATCAAGTAGTTGTCTGCAAGCATTTTATAGGAAGAAACACTCGGTAGGTGATCAGTAAACTCACATATCAATTGCAGAAAATAATAAATACATGAATAAACAATCGGCAATATTGAAAAACAAGAAGTTGGTTAAAAACAACAGCTTGTTAAATTGACAGTCTTGGTGAATTTCGCCCTTAGCCTAATTTTTTTCAAGTCCCATGAAGTCTTTCAGCCAAAATTAAATTTATTTCTCCAAAAAGTCTTTCTCTCAGTTTGATTACTGATTTCACTAAGTGGAGATAATAAACTAAAGTACTGGTCAAAGAACAAATAACAGGGCAGCAGCAAATACCTATTTTGGCTACGAATGACAGAACCAGTTATAAAACCGACGTTCATACGTATACCGATAAATAAATGAGACGTCCTCAGTGGCGAACCAAATAGAACACCCAGTAAAACGGTTTTATTAAAATGGAATTTTGTATACGTTTTTCGTAAACAAGAGGGAATCATGATAAAATTTGGAAGCAAAAACGTTAGGGATATCGCTAAATTTATATTCCACATATATTTAATGGAAGAGAATGACTTGAAATTGGCTCCCCAGAAGACGGAAGTATGTAGTTATACTTTCCGGCAGAGAGAAGCTAACTTCATTAGCTGTTAGATGCAAGATGCAGATTGTAGAAATGCAGTTAAGTATCTGGGTGTGTGGCTTGACAAAGATTTGAATATGATTGGACATATAAGGCGCACCACTGACAAGATAAATAAGATCGTTGCATCTCTGATACGGCTAATGCCATCTGATGAAGGCCCCAGTAGTGAGAGGCGCAGGATTTCTACAGGAGTGGCAAACTCGATTATGCTGTACAGAACTCCTATATATAACAAGGCCTTGAGAAACTGCTAGTGGTCGCTGGTATCCCGCCAATTGATTTGCTGGCTGCGGGAGATGTACGCTATATAAAAAAGCTACAAGCGACGAAAGAGAGGCGCTTTTTGTCAGGAGAGATGGGATGCAACTGGGCATGGTGCATGGACCAGAACGCTGATCACAGATCTTGAAATTTGGACTGACAAGGGAGCGGTGCGGAGAGATTACTATACCGCACAGTTCCTCACAGGACATGGTTGTTTTGACAGCTACCTGAATAGGGTAGAAAAGAAAGTACGCGAATTGTGTATATTGCAATGAAGAGGAGGATACTCCTAATCACCTACTCCAATGTGGTAAGAGTGGGCTGATCACCAGACACAGCGCGAACTGACGCTCGGCGAGAGACACTGCTGGAAATTTTGCCACGCATACACGCATGGGCAAATGGGTTGATGTTCAACCCATACTGAGGCGAATGATGCTGCGTAAGGTACTGGAGAACAAAAATAGACCAAGGAACCAATAGTAGGTATCTATTTTGCTCGGTTGTACATGTACATGTACATAGGTATAAAAGTATGTATTTGTACGATAGAGAAAAGATGACTAATACCTTCGGTATGAGAACGTAGCGCAACGCTACCCACTATGAAAAAATGCTGCAAGCATTACCGTGGTGGGATGTGTGGCGAATGACAGAAGGGTTTTAGTGAGTATGACATTTCTGGAGAATCTCACACTTCGGGCAGGAAGGGCCGGCAAGGCAATACTGTCGAATTTTTCTGCCTAAGAGTGGCTATAAAAGCTTTCTCCGGTTAACAAAGAAACTTATTTAATGGGCGAAAGGCCTCAAGATCTAGGAGGACAGGGAAGAAGACTGACTTAATGAGGTAGTCTATTGTAAGATGTGTTTCCAGTGGCCCCTGGATATACCGTTTTGCCACTATACCTCCTATAATGAAAACTGGAGGTGACTCAGCACCATATGTTGTAGTAGCGGTCCAAACCATAACTGCTACAGTATGGTGCACGTGAAGTTCAACTGATAGCTTTAGATTACGACTTTCTCCATGACGCCTTCTGACTCGTGTCGATTGCTCATGTATTCATAAACCCTTGACATTTTCTGGTTTCTGGGCGACCAGGACTGACAGATTCGACTAACGTACATCAGACAGCGACAAATGTCGGTTACGTCATCAACACCATGTGAAATAAGTAGACAGATCAAATCTCCGTTCACCATGGGAGGATCTTGATTTTCCTAATTGAGGGAAACCGATTCAATAAATGATTTACTAATCGTAATTCTCAAACATCTTGTAAGCATGGATAGAGAGTATGTCACGCCTTTTTATGTTTTTTAAACTTGAAATAATAAAAAAGTACGGAATTTACAATATAATACAAAATAACACATCTATTTGCTAACTTGATGGAACATTTAACATTGGATCTGGGTATGTGAAAAGCTTGTGAGAGCTTTAGAAGAACCATCTTCAATAATAAATATGCTCAATTTTTCCTGGAGTGAAATAAGTGTGTCTATTTGCCTTTCAACACTTGTATAGTGTTTCTCTGTAATTGGATCTTGTATCTGTTGAGAAATATATGAATAAAATAAAATAAATGCGAATAAATGAATTACTGCTAGACAGAAAAATACATTTTATTTATTTATTTATTTATTTATATACAGTTTGGGGTGTTAACAGGTAAACCCAACACACATCCTCAGTGAACTAAAACTAAACTTACATAAAATATCGTATACATATACATATATTACATTATTGAATACTTCAATATTAATATTTTTTTATCCTCCGATATTGTTGTAACAACATAAACTGAGTGAGTAGTTCTAATTATAAGCAATAAACTATCAATTTAACTTTTTTAATAAAAGGAGTATACATAATTTAACATTTACTTATGTTTAATTAAAACTGAAATCAAAATTAAATTGAAATTATACCAGAAAT